AGGGAGAGGGAGAGGGAGAGGGAGGGAGAGGGAGGGAGAGGGAGAGAGAGGGAGAGGGAGGGAGAGAGGGAGAGGTGTCATACACCATACCTGCAAAATATCAACACTAACACAACAAGGTCAAAGACCCATTTCCATTTTGCTCCTTGATGTAGTTCTCTAAAGACTAATGCTGGCTTCTGAAATTTGGAGACCAAGACATCCTGGAGCTATTTGTATTTTAAAATTATTGATTGTTCTTCACACAATATTACTGCATTTTACGGTGTTTAACAAAAAAGGAAATTGCATCATTCAGCAAAATAGCTGCAGATTATTTTTGGGAATGAATGGCTCTCATGCTTCAACGTGCTGGCATGGCTGATTGAAATGGCTTGAAACAATAATCTCAGTGTTGTGGTATGTAAGGATCATTGTTGCCTCTGTGTTGCAGCCACGCCCCCTCACAGATAGCAGGACAGAGGATTGGAGTTTTCTCCTACGGCTCAGGATTTGCTGCTAGTCTGTATTCTCTCCGAGTAACACAGGACCACACACCCGGTGAGACAGCCACAGTTCATGTTAGTTGCATGAAGTGGATGGAATTCAAACATATGAACTTCCATATGATTTGTTGTTTGTGTCAGGATCTGGTCTGGACAAACTTGTGTCCAGTCTGAGTGACCTGAAGGTCAGACTGGACTCTAGGAAGAAGGTATCACCTGCTGTCTTCTCTGAGAACATGAAGCTGAGAGAGGAGACTCACCACTTGGGTATGGCCATGCTGTCACTGCTGCCCATGTCTGATTTCTGATGGGTGATTTACAGAGACTATCTTACTCATTTTTGTAGTCTACTGCACTATGACTGGCACTGATGGGTTTTCTTTTTCTTCAATTCACCTCTCTTTTACATCCTTGATGCATAAAGTGAAATCTAAGTCAGTTTCCAGGCCCAGTTCAATTAATCTGTTCTTCCTAAATTATTAATAAAATATCAGGTGATTGTATTGATTAAGCAGTCCAGTTCAGCTGAAAATGCTATATTAATGACAGTGGTTACTCCATACAGTAGCCGACAACAGTGTCAAACACCATAAAGGGACATGATGTCCAAAAGGGTACATTTATTCATCTTGACACAAACTAAACACAGCATCTGTTTTACCTCCACTGTGCTTGTTTGTTTATTTTATATGCACATTTCTGATGGCAGCAGCTGTAAGAGGTCACATGGGGTCACTGATGATCTCATAGGCATTGATGACTACATACTGTGTTTCATATTAGGCTGTGTTTTGCCAATAATGTTAGTTAAACACATGTTGAGGTCTGTTCCCGTCACATTTACAGAGCCATGCTAACCAGCAGTTGGAATAAAATATTATTATACACGTGGTTTTAAACATTTGGACACACTTTACCATTATTCCAATGGGAAAGATATCGGCCTGATTAATCGGTCAGTCACTAATTGTATAATCTAGTCAAAGTTCCCAAAGAGCCTGGCCTTAATAAAGAACACTGTGTCCTGCTTGAAACTGAATACAGGAGCCCACAGACGGCCCCTCCTCAGATGAGTTTGATGTTCAGAGTCCTGCCTACCAATGCTTACTGTACTCTGAACGGTCTGTCCTGACAGCCAGCTACATCCCCCGAAGCTCAGTGGAGGATCTGTTTCCAGGAACATGGTACCTGACACGGGTGGATGAGAAACACCGCAGGGAATATGCCCGCACACCTCTGGACCACCACCGGCCTGCAGAGCCAGAACTTGTTCGCTCCAGCACTGCCACAGAAGTATGGAGAGTAACATTACCACAGTTTCCTTTGTACATTGTATGTACTGTAGATCGAAGGAATTCATACACAGCTGTAAATGCAGTAGATGACCAGTAGGTAGAAGGTGATGACTTGGTGTATATGTGGGTGTGCATGGGCTGAGACCCATGATCAATACAAAAAAAAGATCAAAATTGACAGAGGTGTTTTCTTAACTCCATGCATACTTTTCTTTCTCAAAACCTGGCACCTTCATTACCCACAATGCACTTGACAATTTTGTCAGAGGTCTGGGTCTTTTATGCTAGTAGCAGCTAATGGCGCATGCAGAGAAGATGGGCAAGCTACAGAGATCTGGGTCACTCATTTCTTTCCAACTCCAGACCCTCAGGTCTCTTTATTTTTTTAAACTTGCCGCCTTCGTTCCCAGCCGGGGCCAACTCGGGTGACATCACCTGAGGACATTTATCAGACTTGACACAGCTCCCTCCTGGAGACATTAATGGTTTTATACTACTGTTTTCACATAGGCACTAGTACTCGCCAGCACCTGGAGATGCACACTAAGGTGTGTTTTATGTTGCCAATAATGAAAGTCAACACTCCCTGCAGATGTTTCAAATAAAAACCTGTCAGAAAGAGAACGATGCCCTTTAAGCTACCAGAAGGCATTTAATATGAAAACTGACAAAAAAGCAAAGTGGATGTGAGTTGACATACAGTACTTGGTGAACAAAAGTGCGTGTGTGTGAAAAGACAAGTTTATTGGTACAGGGCCTTTTTCAACAAAAAGTCAATATAAAAGACAAATAAGATGAACACTTTCTCAGTTTAGGAAGACCAGTTCAGACCATGCAGTGCTTCATGAACCATCAGCTCAGTCTTGTTGTTTGCTCTGTTTTTCTCCTACAGCACATCCCCAGTCCAGCCAAGAAAATGCCTCGCATCCCTACAGTCACCACCGGGCCTAAGGCTGCTGTCAGCAACTGAGAGCTCGGCTGACCTCTGAGAGGTATCATGCTCGAATAACTAGACACTACTGGAGGTCAGAAGTGTCACCTCCCAAATCGTTACATGTTAAACTTGATTAGGTCGGAGCAGTGTGTCAAAGTGTTACGTGGACAGCTTGTACCCTTCCCATCATCCCTGTGCTCCATTTTTCATACTGTTGTACAGTAAACTCTGTATTTGACTACAGAGTGTTTTCATTACGGTAATCTTATGTTTTAGCGGTCCTTTATTTCAGAGTTTACATTTTTACATAGTTTTACATTTGTACAAAATGGACAGTTGTACAGTATATTTGAGAAGAGCGCAGGCAGACTTGAGTTGAACGAGCCGACTTCCCTCTGGCAGCTGGCAGCCAGTGACGGGAAGGCAAGGGACAAAGTTAATGGGGCTTCAGGCCTGCACCTGATTGAGAGCAAAGGGAAGTGGGCCTCAACTGTGTTTATGTATCAAAATAGTGCTGTTGTTGCCGCCATGGTAACCCAGCGTGAGACGGAGCTCGTAGCCTCTCTCTCTGTGTTCAGTACCTCAGTTTTCTATGAAGGGATGTAGTAAGTCTTCTACAGGACTCTGCGGGTTCATGTGTGAACCTGTGACCATGCATCAGGAACAAATAGGCTGGAACTGCCGTTGACTGCTGGAGCTGAGACCACGTTGTAGGAACTGTTCATCCACACACAAGATCTGTGATGCCCCTCAGACAGAAGACCAAGAGATTCATGTTAAACTACAGCTTTTCAGGGTAATAATTATGTTTGGACTTGAGTCACATTTTTAAAGTCAGCACCCACTGGGAAACATAACAGCCCTTCACTGAGATGTGGGGCTGTCATAATGCTTGAGAAGTCGGCCCAACTGGTGTTTACACTGCAGATATCCACATGTGTTCTAAGTACAAAAAGGCTCCATTCACAATCCAGCAAACTAAAATTAAACCAGGCTAATGCAGTGGTTGTGCTATACCTCATCCTTTCACCCAACTTCATGTGAGCAGTGTTGTGTGAAGCTGTTGGCTTGTACTGTTATACTGGAGGTGTAATTGATATAAATGACAGTAAGACTAAATACTAACACCTCTAAGTAATGCAAAATGACCATGATGTTGAATCGCCACCTCTGTGAAACAGTGCAGAGTGAACCTTAGGGAAGAGACACACCAAGCCAATGGTCGGTTGCCGTCAGTGAGCGTCTGTCAGGGATCACCTTCCTGGTGTGTCCTGCACTGTTGGTGCTAATCGGCCTCTGGCGGTGGCTTTTCAGATGATTCGACGTGTTGGTGGCTAGGTCTCATCAGTGAGAGAGAGAGAGAGAGAGCTTAGCAAATCAATGCATGAGAAGAGAACTGTTTGGGAAAGCCCCTTCAGCCTGTCGCTGTAATCCTTATGATTTCACCCCTTTAGTGTGGTTTCTCCTTGTTTTTTGCCTCCACAATGTCCTTTCTTCTTCCACAACTGAAAGACCAAGGGCTGCTAGCTCACTGATGTTGGCTTGAGCCTTGATGAAGGGACAGCTCATTTCAGAGCTGTTTGGATTAGATTGAATTAGCTGTTGGATTATGCACTATTGTTGGAGAGGTGGACCACGAACTGTAAGCGCAGTGTCATATGAGCTGTGTCACATTTCAGAGTTTCACCTGTGTATTTCATTTTTGTATAAACTGACATATGCTGAGGCATCTTAGGTTCCTTGCCTCTAAATACACTGCAGCACTGTTGGAGTTTTTACTCTAGTTTTCCAGAACCAGTGCAAAGGACATGGTGGATATTTGAAGGACCAGGGAGTCCGGAGCATTCCAGCACATAGATAGAACTACACTAGCTGTGCTCAAACATACCAAGCAGTCACTGAAGCAACGGCAGTCCAATCACAGTGTGATTGTTTTGTGCAGAAGGGTTGCACCTTACAGGTATATTCTGTCAGATAGTCATGGAGTTGTGTATGTTGTGAAACCACATTGTCTGGCAGCGGCTGTAACAGTCTGACTCTTGTCATTGCATCAAACTGCCACACATTCACATCCAGCAGTGTCATAGCTGCTGTGACTGTGACATCCACTGTTACAGTGTTATCAGATAGCAAAAGTGTAACATGAAATTCTATTAAAGCCTTATCACCAAAGGGCTTTGTATGGTCAGGTTATAGGTCAGAAGATCAAAGTGCAGCACACGCAACCGAACAGTTTCATCCCGGCATGGTTGTTTTTATTGTTTAGCATTTTAATTAATTTGGTTTGACAGGAACTGCAGTCAAATGCTGAAACGAAGAGAGATCAGGCAGGAAACGTCAGCCTTAAACTAACAGTGATGGATGCATCGGCTCATAGACGTGCACACAGTGAGCGGAGGAGTCAGGGTACTTGATATACAGCTGACTACATTCTTGAGAAGTCTTACAACAAGCAAAGATGTCCCTTGAATAATGTACAAATGTTCTTTTTCATTGTAAAGTCAGAATTGCACAGTCACACACTCTCCCTGTGTGTGACTGGGACTGTAACATTCAATGTTTGTAGGAGGTCACATGATCTTTACCCATGTTAATTGAAATGTACAGAACAGATATCTATGCCGTGTAGATATGAATGAATGAATGAATGAATGAATGGAGAACTTTATCCAGAACTTTGTGTAAACATGTACATTCAGAATAAATGGGCATTCAACTTTGTTTGTTTGTGTTTGTTTGTTTTGTTTTACCAATAATTATAATTATGAAAACCATATGTCTGCATTTATGGATAAATAAGGCTTATTATATATTATTATGAACAAAACCATTTTAACTAATAACAGGTCATTGTATTGTTCTTGTCCACAATTAATAAATCATTGTGCGTGGACAGTTTGACATTGTCGAGGGGAAAATGAATTCCTGCAGCCATCTACAAATGTATTTCACACCAGACATCCTGGAACTATGTTTGAGCTGAAGCAGCTCTGTGAGGAAGAATGCTCCAAAATTCCTTCTGAAAGTTGTGCAGTCATGTGAATCCCAGTAAATATGATCTTACTGATGACAGGGTTTGCATGTCAAACACAAACGGGTGCCACACATCCTTATTCTCCCAACGGTTCTTTCATCAGCCATTAATGAAGCAGGCTGTGTTTATAATTCTAACAGACCTGTGTGGATAATCTGTAGTGCAGCACAGCTGACATTTACATGAGTCTCTTTATAACAAGTGAGTAACACAGAAGAGCGGGACGAAGGAAGAGAAACCATTTCCATAGGTGAGCCTTTCAGGCAGGACTCTGTGATGATGTAAAGATGAAGAGATGTATTTAGGACATACAGTAACTGACAGGTTGTTGGCTCAGTAAAGTGGGAGAGCACCTCGCTAGGAATTAAGCATCTCACACACAGTAACAAATCTACTTGATTAAAACCCTGTCTATTTTTTCTATAAACAGTCATGTGTACGTGCATTTCTCAGCCTCTCTGTGCTTCCTTGTCAGACTAATGCAAGTCGACCCAAAGATGGCGACAGACCCAAACAGTGATGTCAGAGTTCCCTGCGGTCAACCTGAGGTGAACCTACGATTAATAGCTTTTAACAGCAAACTGCGCATTTTCAGATGAGATATTGTGAATAACCACCTCCATGTATAACATAAGTGTTTGTTCACCCCATATTAACAAAGCATACACCGATCTTGGAAAAGCAGTGTTTTGCTACTGCTGTGTTGTTGAAGCTACAGTCAGTGGTCAGATGCACCTGGCAGCACAGCCTCTCTGTTTATCCACTCATTCAATTCGAGCTGACCCGCACTGCCTGTACCATGTTTGTATGGACTGATACAACATGTTTACAGTTGCTTTTGTGGTTTGTTTAAAGGAAATGCATGTGTGGAAAATGTAAAAGGAAATAACAGCACCCATCAGCCTTGTTATCACACTTGATTTGGCCTTGTGCAGACTCTCCACAACAAAACCTGTGGGCACATCCATTGTTAGCTTGATTTGCAAATAAAAACAGATAAATATTGTTTACTGTTCCACCTGGGGGCAGATGTTGAAACAGGTGGTGAGCGGGATTTGATGGGGCCATCTGCTTGACATGTTGAGTTTTGTGCAGTGACTGAAGTGTGAGGAGAGGGAGCCCTTGATTTTGGAGGATCTGCACTGTGTGCCCAGTCTTCTAAACCAAACTGTTCTACATGAAGTGAGCATATTTTCATGGCTGATTGTAGGAGGATTATGTTTCCCATTGAATTTCTTAAGATGTCTGAGGAACAGCAGACCTGCACAGAATCACGATTGATGCACAAAGCGTGGTGGTTAGTTTTCTGTCTGACATTATCCTGATGTGGGCCAATGCAAACGTAGAGAGATCAAGGTGGCTGCGGTTTTTGGAGCCACATATTCTCTTACTGTCTGTGAGACCTCTGGACATGATGGGAAACACCTGGCTCTTCTTTGCTGAGCTGACTGGTTTAGCTGTAGGATGAGCAACATGATGAATTATAGAAACCTATCTGAGCTGCAGCAAGCAGTTCATTAATACGTTTATTAGAGATGTTCTAAAAACAGAATATGACTCAAAACAACTGAAAAGAAAATATGATCTATATACTTCAGAGACCAAGGGGAAAGAAAAAACATTTGTCTCATCTGAGCTTTAAAAATTCTGAATGACATCCATCCAGTGATGTGTCACTTAGAACATTTTAACTACGATAACAGCTCCTGTGGATTCTGTCTGAAGAAGATTAAGTACGGAGTGTTCAATATGTTCACGTTGGCTTCTATGGGCTAAACTTCATGTGATATCTATTACAACTGGAAGAAGGCTAAAAACATTTATTAGAGCTTGAACTCCAGAAGAACTTAGTAAGTTTACGAGGGACAAAACAGTCCTAAAACGTCCGTCTGTAGTGGACTGGTTTCAGCTGCCTGAACAGGATGCTTGAGCGCGACTTTTCCTTTTGTCTATAAGACT